GTTTAGTTTTGATTCCGGTCTGGTAGCAGCAACACTGAAGCTCCGTTTTGGCTTAAAAGTAGCACGTGTTCGCGAATTTCTAATTTATTGTTAATAAATATTAGCGAAAATGTTGTGTTACGTGCTGTGAACACGAAGGAAAGTGGATACTTTTCCAAAAATGCCCGATTTTTTTTGAAATATGTTGTTAATAACATGCATTCAGGACTGATAAAGTACGGCTTTGGAATATACAAAGTGCAGCGTTCATAATTCACAAAATACCGTATGCATCATTTTTAAAGTACGGCGTCCAAATTTACAAACTACGGTGTCCTCTCTTTTAATGGCAAGACGCACTCCAGACCTCCTCGTATTGTTTGGTTCTTGCTGGGCAACAGCAACGAGCGAGCAGAGTCATCGCTCTTTGTTGGCAAACGTGGAGAAATTTGTATATTGTAACTTTTGTAACTGAAGCATTTTGTACTGTATATTGTATGTGTTACTAACTTAACTTGGGTCTTGTCAATTTAGCTCCAGTGGTGCAAATGCTTTGTTTTCACGGTGCATTTGCTTGGGTTTTAATTTTGCAACAGTGCATTCTTTGGTTCCGAGACTGAATTCTCCATGTCGCCAGACGCTCTGGCCTGGGGGGGTTCTGTTGGCCCTTAGACGCTGGGTCATCATCCTAAACGGATGAGGTTCATCATCCTAAACGGATGAGGTCAGTCGGCCCTGTATCTATGCGGCTGCTTTCTCCCTTGGGCGTGTGAGCGCTGCGACCTATAGATTTCGTTTCGAGTTCCATCGGTGTGCTTGCTTGGGTATTAATTTTGCAACAGTGCATTCTATGGTTCCGGGTTTGAATTCTCCATGTCGTCAGACGCTTTGGCCTGGGGGGGTTCTTTTGGCCCTTAGACGCTGGGTTGCATCGTTCTTTGAGAATGAGGTAAGACGACCTTGGATTTATGCGGCTGCGTTCTCCCTTGGGCGTGTGAGCGCTGCGACCAATAGATTTCGTCCCGAGTTCCATCGGTGTGCTTGCTTGGGTTTTCATTTTGCAACATTCTCAATTTTTGGTGCAATTTCTTCCGGTGGTGTATTGGGTACTAACTTTGCATTTGTATTGTATCTGAATTGTATCTGTATCTGTAGTGTATTCTGTATTGTAGCTAGATTGTAGGTACCTGTATTGTATTTCCGTTGTATTGTACTGTATAACGTTCTATCACTCATTAACAATTCCTAGCCCTCTCCTTTCCTAGCGAGATCTGCTCCAGACCTTCCCGTGGTTCTTGCTGAGCATCAACTATCGAGGACAGAAAATTCAAATTCAAAACCAGCAAAGTTTCACAAAAATCATGAAAATCGCTCGTTGGTGGCCAACGTGGAGCAAAAGAGACTTTTTTCACTAGCAGCCATGACGCATGTAAATGTCGACTCATTTAGAGGTAGCAAATTCAACTTTTGCGACCACCGGTTCAAAAAGAAAAATTGAGGTTATGTACGCAATGTTTGATGTGATTATTTCTTAAAAAATGAACAAATGTGTGCTACAAACATTACTTGAATATACCCATGGTAGTTGGGAGACGGTAGAAGATAAAATGATTAATTCAACGACAAGTATAAACGGTTTTCTTTGTGTTGAAGATTTAGATTAAGTTTGATTAGAAATCAAAACAAAATCATGTTGCGTCAAAAAATTGAACGTTTATTTTTTCAGTTTATTGTCTTATGGTTTCTACTAGTGAAAAAAATAGTATATTAACCACGGTTGCAAAGCCACTCCTAGACCTCGCGCTTCAGAGCCCTCGACGCTGTGCGTCTCGGGTTTTGATTTGCGCTCGGTCTAGAATGCTTGGCTCTGCAACCTTGGTTAATAATATACTATATGAAATTTCAATAAAAACTGCTCTTACCTTATATAGCCATATCATATTTCCGCGTATTCCAGAATAAAACAAAATAAAGCCTTAATTAACGGAGGACTTTCAGGTTCTGAGATTTTCGATTTTCGTCGAACCTTTCTCCGAGATCATCAACACGCTATATTTTTTGTAGGTTTTTACGTCATTTTTTTATCACTATATCTAACAGAAGTAGTTTTTTAAACAGTTTACAATCATCTCTTATACATATATCTGAGTTGGTGTCTAAAAAAACTGCTTTTACTATCTACACCTTATTTCCGAAAAAAAGTTGTATATTCCATTGGTCGAAAAATGGAAAAATTGAAATATTAAAAAAAAATAAAAATCGTTCATTCAAAAACTTGAGAAATCTAAAAATGAGTTATCGAGAATTTGAAAAATCCCAAAGCAGAAATATGGAAAAATTGGGAAATCGAAAAATTGGAAGGATTTTCCAATTAATTTCCGCACCTCGGCTTACGACGAATAAAAAAAATCATCAGAATTGAGATAGGGCGGGTGGGCGGGGATTATATTTTGCCTTTTTTTTTTCTTAATATACGTAGCCATCTTTTCACATCAAGAAACTTAGAACATGGTTAAAATGGTACATTTTTGCAAGAAAATATGGACTTTGCAATTATGGGGCGAAGCCTATTATTTGCAAAATCGATAGTTCCTTTTACAAATTTTCCATTTTAAACATATTTTATGTTGCGAAAAAAAGTCTACACATGTTAAAACAAAATCTCAATTCTGATGATTTTTTTATTCTTAGAAACTTTAAACACGTTTAAAATGGTAAATTTTTGTTAGGAAATATGGATCTTGCAATTAGGCTCCGCCCCTAGGTTTGCCAACGAATGAAAACTTCATTAGGTACGATTTAGATCAGGGCAGGTACATATTATTTATTCTTTGAACAACGCAATGCTCAAAAGTATGTTTTTAATTTCTGGAGGAGAAATAAGGATTTTGCAGTTAAGCTTCGCCTTCTTGGCTCATGACGAATAAAAAAAATCATCACAATTGAGATAGGGAGGGTGGGCGGGGCTACATGTTGCCTTTTTTTTTTCTTAATATGTGTAGACTTATTTTGACAACAAGAAACTTAAAACATGTCTAAATGGTAAATTTTTGTAGTAATCAACTTCAATCCCCCACTTTTCTTCTAAAAACTTTTCTTATTATGAATTGTTTTTATAGTTTTGAGGATTATCTTCGGCTCTGTCTTCGGTGTAGAAATTTTAATATTTTATGGGTTTAATTTATTGTATTTGACTTGTATAAAACTGTATTTGTAAGTTTTTAACAGCAATAAAGTTGATTGATTGGTTAAATACGGCAAAAGTTGAACATTAAAGTTACTATCAAGCAAGTTGGCAACGGAGTTTATAGTTTTACAACAGATCTAAAGTTGTGCTTCATCAAATTTTTCAAAGTGCAAAAAGTAATTGTTAAAGTAATGACAATTACTTTTTAAAAATAATTCTTCCTATCACTGTTACATCTTAGCCCATTCATAATGCATATTGTGTTGCATAACCTCAAACAATAGTGATTGCATCTGGTGAACAAATTCTTCCAACATAACAGACCTTATAGATACTTCACTTTAAAACAAATTCTAATTTAATGTATAGTGTTTTTTTTCACCAACAGGATAGTCAAAAATATTTTCAGTTTGTTTCTTGTTGGGAAAAGAAGACTTCGTATATTAAGTAAAAACAAACAAAATATAAGCCCCGCCCACCCACCCCTTCTCGATTGTGATGAATGTTTTATTCAAAGTGAGAAGAAGGGCGGAGTTTAGATGCAAAATCCTCATTTCTCAACAAAAAATTACCATATGAAATTCATCACAATTGAAATTGGGGTGAGTGGGTGGGGCTTAATCTTTGTTTTGTTTTTAATGGATAGAGTTTACTTTCAACAACAGGATAATCAAACATGTTTTCAGTTTCTTTTTGGGGAAAGAAGATTTCGTATATTAAGAAAAATTGGACAAAATATAATCCCCGCCCACCCACCCCTTCTCAATTGCGATAAATGTTTTATTCATAGTAAGCAGAAGGGCGGAATTTACTTGCAAATCTTTATTCCTCTACAAACAATTACCATATGAAATTCATCACAATGAGATTGGGGCGGGCGGGTGGGGCTTAATCTTTGTTTTTTTTTTAACATACAGAGTTTTCTTTCAACCACAGGATAGCTAAACATGTTTTCAGTTTCTTGTTGGGAAAAAAGACTTCGTACATTAAGAAAAAATGGACAAAATATAAGCCCCGCCCACCCACCCCTTTTCAGTTGTGATGAATGTTTTATTCATAGTGAGCAGAAGGGCGGAATTTACTTGCAAATCTTCATTCCTCTACAAAAAATTACCATATGAAATTCATCACAATTGAGATTGGTGCGGGTGGGTGGGGCTTAATCTTTGTTTTTTTTTAACATACAGAGTTTTCTTTCAACCACAGGATAGCTAAACATATTTTCAGTTTCTTGTTGGGAAAAAAAGACTTCGTACACTAAGAAAAAAATGGACAAAATATAAGCCCCGCCCACCCACCCCTTTTCAATTGTGATGAATGTTTTATTCATAGTGAGCAGAAGGGCGGAATTTACTTGCAAATCTTCATTCCTCTACAAAAAATTACCATATGAAATTCATCACAATTGAGATTGGGGCGGGTGGGTGGGGCTTAATCTTTGTTTTTTTTTTTAACATACAGAGTTTTCTTTCAACCACAGGCTAGCTAAACATATTTTCAGTTTCTTGTTGGGAAAAAAAGACTTCGTACACTAAGAAAAAAATGGACAAAATATAAGCCCCGCCCATAGTGAGCAGAAGGGCGGAGTTTAGTTGCAAAATCCTCACAATCGCAATTAAAATTGGGGCGGGTGGGTGGGGCTTACTCTGCATTTTTTATTTAATGCATAGAGCTTTCTCTGAGCAACATTTTTATTTGTTATTATTTTTTTTTAATTTATTAATAAATGTATTTATAAGCTGCTTTATTAATGTTTATTTAGAAATGCGTTAACCACAACCAACTTGATGCGTGACTTTTTATAAGCACCTTGTAAAACAGAGCAAAAAGAAGATATCATAAGAATATTTATTTATAAATATCATAGAACTTAACACAGTTAATGTTGAATGTAATTTGCCACTTTTTACGCTATAACACAACTAGTAATTGGTTGCTGTTTACATTTTCTGATTTCCTTTCCCTCAGCGACTTCCTCAATAATGGATGAAAGATCATCATAATCGGGATAAGCAAGTGTAGTCAACTTGGAATGAACTAGAGTACCATTAACTTTAACCTCAAAAGACGCTCTACGACCCTCATGCCCATTTATGGCAACATCAGGGTGTTTGGGCTTAATATATTGCGATAATTCTTCAAACTGTTTGAAGTAGCCACAAGTTCCACTAAGAGGAAAAATTTATAATGAAATTCAACCACAAAAGTGTAAAATAACCAAAATTCGACATCCACCTCGACTGTCCCCATTGCTATTTTCAACACGAAGCTGGTAATAGCGAAGTGTAAAAAAACAAATAGGGCACTATCAACACTATTTCTAAAAACTGTAATTCATATTTGTCAACAAATGCACATGACATGTCAAACTTGACAAATGACGTACGCAGTCGTTGGTAGCCCTGTCGATTTGACCAGTGACAGTGCATCGTGACTGGTATTTTTTGTCTTTCAGTGTTGGCATTACTCGGTAACTTGTTACCTAACCCCACTTTTTAAAAAGCAAACGTTACCCAAACGTACTCGCCATAAACAAGAAAACACAAAAATGTCGTACCTCTCGCGACGAGAAATCGAAGACTTAAAACCTTCCATAGACAAAGCCGTGTACAAAGTGCTCGGCAGCAGTGATAGCTCCCTGGTCAGTACCGCTGTTCATTGTTTAAATTCAGGGTATGATAAGCGCAAAACTACTGACAAACTTTCGTCTTATGTTGATAGCAAAAAAGCTGCAAGAGTAGCCGACAAAATTTTTGATATAATAGAAGACTATCAGTCGTCACATCGTTCAAAAAAACGATCGCACGATGAATCCAGAGATCGAGACTCGAAGCGTTCGAAATCGCGGCATGACGAAAGGGACAATAGATATGACTCGGACAGAAACGACAGGAAGTCTAAGTCGAACGAGGTCATGGAAAGCGCCCAGAAGCAAATTCAGGAGCGCAAGAGAGCCCTCGACAAAAACTTGAACCTTTCGAATTTGAATATCCCCCAACCTAGTATTTACGGAATCCCGATGGGGCTGCTGAACCGGGGCGACGCCGACAAGGCGCGGAAAATCGCGCAGCTGCAGGCTCAAATCAAGAGTAAACTGTCGAGCGGGATTTTAGCTAATGCTATTCAGATACCAGTGGTGCCTAATAAACCGACACCGTTGATCCTTGATGATGAAGGCAGGACGGTGGACAAAACGGGCAAGGCGGTGCAGTTGACGCACGTCGTGCCGACGCTTAAAGCCAACATTAGGGCGCAAAAACGGGAGCAGTTTAGGAGTCAGTTGAGCGATAAAGTTGATGATAGTAACGAGACTAAGTTTTATGATGGGCGCATTGGGATAAAGCCGCCGATGAGGAATAAGAGGATGTTGAGGTTTCACGAGCCGGGGAAGTTTTTGCAACAGGCTGAGAGGCTTCGGATGAAGGTAGGTTTAAATTTGTTTAGATTTGTTTGCATGTTAAGTCTGACACTTTTAGGCGCAACTAGAAAAACTGCAAAATGAAATTTCACAAATTGCGAAAAAGACGGGGATTTCGTCGGCTACGAAGTTGGCGCTGATTGCAAAGAGTGAAGGGGTTATTGAAGAGACGCCGCATATGGAGTGGTGGGATTCGGTTATTTTGATTGATAATTTAGAGACCATGATTAATGGGAAGATTGCTATCAAGGAGTCGGTTATTAACACTCTGGTGGAACATCCTACCCAACTGAGGTGTCCAAGTGAGTAGTTACAGGTCGTTTTTTATTCAAACAGGTCAAAAAGAAAAAAATACCTATTTTACTTTCTATCGTGCCTTGTCCATTTTAATAATAATGTTTATGCAACCCAAAATACATTCTCGCACGAATTATATGTTTTTGACATTTGACTTTTCTCAAAATTGGATAATTCTAATAGGATGTATTTTGGATTGTATAAATACAATTATTAAATTGTATTATATTTTGCATTCAGTTTTTCGCTCAAAGTCCATAAAACTAGTTATTGAAATATCCGAGTTCAAATTAAAATTTTTAAAATCAAAATTTATGTCGCCTGAGAACTTGTTTGATCTACAGACCAGAGCGCGTTCGCGCCAATGTCGACTCTAAGCGTTCAGAAGCGATTTGGTTGGTTTGGACTACATATAATTTCTGGGGGAAATAGTTGTTTGTTTCAATATTATAACGAATAGGTGGACATTTTTGTACATATTTAGATGGGTTTATTTACAAATATAATATCACATGTCACATGTTTCGCTCGATTTTGACATGCAACATTTTTTTTGTTTAACTAAGAATTGATTCTTTAATTGTGTTTTATACAAGCAAAACGTCTTAAATTAACGATATTGTTGAAATCGCAATAATCCAATGGATTTTTTTTGGGAAAATGTAGTTATTTTTATGTGTTCTACTTTGTGTGGAAAATTCAAAAATCTAAAATGTAAAAACGAAAAATTGAGAAATCAGAACTCTTATATTAAAAAAATCGAAAAATTTAAAAATCGGATCATTGGAAATCGAAACATCGAAAAGTCGAAAATCCGAAAAGATCCAGAAATCGTGAAATCGAAAAAACGGAAGGTAAAAGTTTTAAAATTGGAAAAGAGGAAAAACAAAACGGAAAAATGGAAAAATTGAGTAATCGGGAAATCAACACATTGAAAAATCGAAAAATTTTAAAAATGAAAAATTAAAAAATCGAAAATTCGAAAAACCTAAGATCAGATTGAAAAACAGAAATTCTAAAACCGGGAAGTCAAAAAATCAGAAAGATTAAGAAATCGAAACATTTGAAAAATTCGAAAATTTAAATATCGAAGAACTGAAATGAAAAATCGAGAATTCTAAAAATCTAAAATTTTAAAAATTGATAAATTGAAATATCAAAAATTTAAAAATCGGAAAAGTTGACTCGAAAAAGTAAAAAAATCGACACATCCAAAAATTCAGGAATCCAAAAATCGGAAACTCCAAGAATCGAAATATTGAAAAATACCAAAACTGAAATATCGAAAAACTGAAGAATGGAAAACTGAAATGTTCAAAAACTGAAAATCTATCAAATTTAAAAATTGACAAATGGAAAAATTGAAAAATCAAAAACCTGAAAAATCGAAAAATTGAAGGATTGAAGAAGAGAAAAATCTAAAAGAAAAGTCAAAAATTGAAAAATCAAATTAAATAGGATTAGATTTTTATCTCTGCTCGATATTCGTATAATGATAATAATAATAAATCGAAATATTTAAAAATCGTAAAATTGAAGAGAAAAATTGAAAAAACGTAAACCTGAAACATCGGAAAATTGAGAAATCGAGAAATTGAAAAATTGAAAAATGAAAGAAAAACTGAAATACTTAAAAACTGAGAAATTAAAAAAATGAAAATTGAGAAATCAAAAAGTCAAAACACTGAAGTCGAAAAATCAAAACCTTAAAAAATTGAAAAACTGAAAAATTGAAGAATTGAAGAAATTAAAAACCTGAAAAATCGAAAAATTGAAGAATTGAAGAACAGAAAAATCTAAAAAAGTAAAAAATTGAAAAATTAAATTAAATAGGATTAGATTTCTACCTCTGCTCGATATTCGTATAATAATAATAATAATAATAATAATAAATCGAAATATTTAAAAATCGTAAAATTGAAGAGAAAAATTGAAAAAACGTAAACCTGAAACATCGGAAAATTGGAAAATCGAGAAATTGAAAAATTGAGAAATTGTAAAATCGAAAAATTAAAAAATGAAAGAAAAACTGAATAATGGAAAAATTGAAGTACTTAAAAACTGAGAAATTAAAAAATTGAAAATTGAGAAATCAAAAAGTCAAAAAACTGAAGTAGAAAAATCATAACCTTAAAAAATTGAAAAACTGAAAAATTAAAAAATTGAAAAATTGAAGAATTGAAGAAATGAAAAATCTGAAAAATCGAAAAATTGCAGAATTGAAGGACAGAAAAATCTAAAAGTCAAAAATTGAAAAGGTAAATTAAATAGGATTAGATTTTTACCTCTGCTCGATATTCGTATAATAATAATAATAAATCGAAATATTTAAAAATCGTAAAATTGAAGAGAAAAATTGAAAAAACGTAAAACTGAAACATCGGAAAATTGAGAAATCGAGAAATTGAAAAATTGAGAAATTGTAAAATCGAAAAATTTAATAACAATAAATAATCTGAAGAATGGAAAAACTGAAATATCTAAAAATGAGAAATTAAAAAAAATGAGAAACTGGGAAATCAAAAAGTCAAAAAAGTGAAGTCGAAAAATCAAAACCTTTAAAAATTGAAAAACTGAAAATCAAAAACCTAAAAAATTGAAAAATTGAAGAATTGAAATTAAAAACCTGAAAAATCGAAAAATTGAAGAATAGAAAAATCTAAAAGAAAAGTCAAAAATTGAAAAATTTAAAAATCGAAATATTTAAAAATCGTAAAATTGAAGAGAAAAATTGAAAAAACGTAAAACTGAAACATCGGAAAATTAAGAATTCGAGAAATTGAAAAATTGACAAATTATAAAATCGGAAAATTGAATAATAAATAGTCTAAAAAATCCCAAAATTAAAATTTCGAAAATTTGAAAAATGAAAGAAAAACTAAAAAATGGAAAAACTGAAAAATTGAGAAGTCAAAAAGTCAAAAAATGAAGTCGAAAAATCAAAAGTTTAAAAATTGAGAAACTGAAAAATTAAAAACCTAAAAAATTGAAAAATTAAAAAATCGAAATATTTAAAAATCGTAATATTGAAGAGAAAAATTGAAAAAACGTAAAACTGAAACATCGGAAAATTGTGAAATCGAGAAATTGAAGAATTGAATGATTAAAAAATCGAAACATTTGAAAATTCGAAAACTTTAAATATCGAAGAACTGAAATGAAAAATCAAGAGATCGAAAAATCTAAAATTTAATAAATTGAAAAATTAAAATAGCTAAAAATTTTAAAATCGAAAAATTGGTTCGAAAAAGTTAAAAAATCGAGAGATCGAAAAATCCAGGAGTCAGAAATCGAAAATTCGAAGAATCGAAATACTGAAAAATGCCAAAACTGAAATATCGAAAAACTGAAAAAAGAACGAAAAACTGAAGAATTGAAGAACAGAAAAGTCTAAAAGAAAAATCAAAAACTGAAAAATTAAAAAATCGAAATATTTAAAATTCGTAAAATTGAAGAGAAAAATTCAAAAACGTAAAACTGAAACATCGGGAAATTGAGAAATCGAGAAATTGAAAAACTGACAAATTGTAAAATCGTAAATTGAATAACGAAAGAAAAACTGAAAAATCTCAAAACTGAAATATCTAAAAACTGAGAAATTAAAAAAATTGTAAAAGTTGAAAAATCAAGAAGTCAAAAAAGTGAAGTCGAAAAATCAAAACCCTTACAAATTGAAAAACTGAAAAATCAAAAACCTGAAAAGTTGAAGAATTGAAGAAATGAAAAATCGAGAAACAGAGTTTATAAAAAACAAATTTGAAAAATTGCAAGAACCAAATATTTAAAAATCGTAGAATTAAAGAGGAGAAAAATTCAACAATGTGAATTGAAAAATTGAATAATAAATAAACTGAAAAATCTCAAAACTGAAATTTCGAAAAATTGAAAAATGAAAGAAAAACTGAAATATCTAAAAATTGAAAATTTGAAAAATTGAGAAATCGAAAAATCAAAAAAGTGAAGTCGGAATGTCGAAACCTTAAAAATTAAAAAAACAAAAACCTGAAAAATCGAAGAATTGAAGAACAGGAAAATCGAAATAGTTGAAAGTAAGAAATGAGAAAATCATCGATTTATTGAAAAATCGAATAATTGAGAATTTAGAAAAGTCAAATATTGAAAAATCGAAATATTTAAAAATCATGAAATTGAAAAAACGTAAAACTGAGAAATTAAAAAAAATGTAAAAATTGAAAAATCAAAAAGTCGAAAATTCAAAACCTTTAAAAATTGAAAAACTGAAAAATCAAAAATCTAAAAAATAGAAAAATTGAAAAAATAAATCAAAAAATAATAAAAGTTTATTAAAGTCAAATTTGAAAAATTGCAAAAAATTTAAATCGTAAAATTGAAGAGGCAAAAACTTGAATAATAAATAAACTGAAAAATGCCAAAACTGAAATATCCAAAAGCAGAATCTAAAAAATTGAAAAATTAGTAAATCGAAAAATCAAAAAAGTGAAGTCGAAAAATCGAAACCTTAAAAATTGAAAAATTGAAAAATCAAAAACCTGAAAAATCCAAAAATTGAAGAATTGAAGAACTGAAAAAGCGAAACAGTCGAAAGTCAAGAAATAAGAAAATCAAAATACCGATTTCTTGAAAAATCGAACAATTGAGAATTTAGAAAAGTCAAAAATTGAAAAACTGAAACATCGGAAAATTGAAAATCGAGAAATTGAAAACTTGAGAAATTGTAAAATCAAAAAATTGAATAATTAATCAATAATCTGAAAAATCCCAAAACTGAAATTTCGAAAAATTGAGAAATCAAAAAGTCAAAAAGTGCAGCCGAAAAATCAAAACCTTGAAAAATTGAAAAATCAAAAATCCAAAAAATCGAAAGATCGCAGAATCAAAAAAATGGACAATCGAAAAATTGCGAGTTTATAAAAGTCAAATTTGAAAAATTACAAAGACCAAATCGTAAAATTGAAGAGGGGAAAAACTGTAAAAACGTAAAATTAAAACATCGGAAAAATACCAAAACAGAAACATCCAACTGATAATTAAAAAATTGAGAAATCGACAAATCAAAAAGTGAAGTCGAAAAATTGAAGAATTAAAAAAGTGAAAAATCAAAACAGTCGAAAGTCAAGAAATGGGAATTAAACAAAAAATAGTTGCATGTCAATAATTAACACATGCACCTACCAAAATGTTCACTTATTCGAAAAATCTATTAAAAAAACTGGGATGTAGGTTTTAACGAACTGAATCGAAAAATAAATCTTGTTGGATTTCCCGGACCAAGATACAAAGCGAAAATCAAAAATTTCGGAACCGTGATATCATTTTTGTTATAAATTTATTTTTTAATTTCAAAATTTGAGTTTTTTCATGAACTTATCGAATCAACAACCGTTACAGAATTTTTTTTTTAACGTGCTGAATTGAAATACCTAGCGTTTGGGGATGAAAATCGAAAATTCTAGAGCTATAACCATTTTGGCTAAAAATTATGAGAGAAAAACATGTTTACGTAGAAATGTCCAGTTAAAATAATCCAAAGTTAAGGCGAAATTAAATTCACCGAATAATATATTTTTAAATGAAATTTTTGTTTAATAAATGTATTGAGAGTGACCATCATTTCTAGTAACACTTTCACTTTTACCAATTTAATTAGCCGCAGGGTATTCGTTATTACTCATGATCAATGTTGATGGAATTCCATTTTACGTCATAAAAATTTTGAAAACTTTACTATGCAACATGTACATAAAGACGAATTTCGTACTCACTAGTGAGATTTAGCTTTTGTGCGAAAGCGCCGAAAAATCCACAAAAATTCTGGAACACGTTTTAAAGTTCGGTGTCAGTCGTTCTGTGGTGAATTTGACGTAGGTATACAAGTGTGACGAAAGTACTTTTTCAGCCGACCCCATCAAGCCCGTCTACATGCCAGTATTCCTCACCAAAAAAGAACGCAAGAAACTCCGCCGCCAAAACCGCCGCGAAATGTGGAAAGAAGAGCAGGAGAAAATCCGTCTAGGCCTCGAACCGCCCCCAGAACCCAAACTACGAATCTCGAATTTAATGCGAGCTTTGGGCACGGAGGCCGTCCAAGACCCCACGAAAATAGAAGCCCACGTCCGGGAGCAAATGGCCAAACGACAGAAAGCCCACGAAGACGCCAACGCTGCAAGAAAACTAACCACCGAGCAGAAACGCGACAAGAAAATAAAAAAACTCAAAGAAGACACTTCGTTGGGGGTGAACGTGTCGATTTATCGAATCAGAGACCTCCACGAACTAGCTTCCAAGAAGTTCAAAGTGGAAACAAACGCGAAACAGCTGTTCATGACCGGATGTATCGTGTTGTATCCGGATTGTTGCGTGGTAGTGGTGGAAGGTGGACCCAAGCAGCAGAAGAAATACAAAAGGTGAAGTTTTAAATGCTGACTAGGTAGGTAGCTGAGTTTCAAACAAAAAATTTTTAGGTTGATGTTGAATCGGGTCAAGTGGGAAGAGGACATCGTGAAAGACCCAGATGGGAATGAAGTCCCGAATAAGTGTTTTCTGGTCTGGGAGGGCACGAGTAAACAGAGAAATTTCGGGGAGGTTAAATTCAAGGCTTGTCCTACGGAAAGACTGGCCCGTGAGCACTTCAAGAAACACAAAGTGGAACACTATTGGGATTTGGCTTACAGTGGAGCTGTTCTAGAACAAGCCTGTGACGTTGTTTCATAGTAACTAAGATTGATAGATAGTAACAATTGAACCAATATGTATATATTGATTTTTTTCATTTAACTGTGTAAGCTGTATTGGAATAAAATGGTTGAGTGTGTTTAATTTAGGATGTGTTATTTACATAAATAAATGTATAAATGCGTGCTGAGTTTTATTGGTGACAAGCTACAGGTACGAAATCACATTAGTAGAATTTAGGTAACATTCTTCGACGAAATTTATCACTTAGGAACGTCGTACTTGCACCCACATAAAATTTTGGTGTGGGTGCAAAATTTCTGAAGCATAGTATTTTTTACTAACACTACCTACGCAATTTAGAAAAATATAGCTCTGATTAGGTCTTATTTAGTAAAAAACAATCTTTGGTAATGGCACACGTTGCATTCACAATATTTACATTCAGTTTTCGTTCTAGCAGGTAGGTATTAAAGATCTTAACTAAACGTAAACACGGTTACAACCAATTGTAATAAATAACAGCAAATACTGACACAGGAATGATAAATAAGGAATACCTGAGAACATAGATTCTAGTTCAAGTAATAAGAAATCTCAAAACTGGTTATACTTAGACTAGCATCACAATTTGAATCAAACTAACAGGCGATTATCGCCCTAATCGGATAGCGTATCACTTGACATATATTTCTTAATTATTTTAATTAATTCTAAATATAAAAAACAATCTCTTCCGGCGGGTTTGCATATTTCTCGGTGATCTAACGGCACGTCGCATTTAACTCCGACGCCAGGATCTACAACAAAAATTAACTTATTTAATTAAAAACGATAATAAATAATCGAAACATTACCAGCTGACTCATACGCCACTATTTTCAAATACACGAACGACATTAGAGTGAACGACGTCTCAATAAAGCTAAAAATGTCGGCTTCCAAGTATCCTTTTCTACACAAATCTAGAAACCGGCGGTGTAAGTCCAGGACGAACTCGCAGTCTGAAAAATAGCAATGAATATTATGCGTTCACGATCTTTATATAGTAGGGTTGGCCATGAAAATCTAGTGAGGTTGTTGGTATTCGATGCAGAGAATAAAAATTCCCTGAAGTTTTTTTGTTAGGTTATGTTTTATTAAGGGGACTCGGTAGACGAGGTATAAAATTTTTTTGGTTTTTTGTATGAAAAAATGATATTAATATGGATGTATCATGCATCAAACTGCAGCTTTTTTCATATTCTAGAGCGCAGAGACCAGTTCAATCAATTAAAAAAATATGGCTGAGAAATATCGTAAAAAAAGCACCATTGTATGTTTTCTTTTCAAGTTTTTTGAGTCTTAACCATCATAGAATCGCTTGAAAATTCGCACATGGATAAAACATCACTTTTTACAGGGCGCAGAGTCATTAAATGTTTGTTAGTGGTACAATTTGTTTAAATAATAATGTGTTTATTAAAATCAAAATATACCACAAATTAATGCAAAATACGTCGAATAATTTTAACAGGAATATCAGAGGAAAATTAATGATCTATTGGTAGCAGAGTTTTTAAAAATAAACTTGTGAAGTACCCGTAACAAGCATTTGTCCCTGGACTTGAAAGTAGTAATGAATCAGTTCCATGATTTTTCAATTTGTCGAATTTTTAAATTTTAGATTTTTTGTTTTCTTTGATGTTTTGAGTTCTCGATCATTCGATTTTCTGAGTTTTCAGGCTTAGATTTTTTTGTTGTTCAATTCTTGGATTTTTTAAATTTTTGTTTTTTAAATTTATCAACTTACTGGGAATTTAATGTTTTGATTTTTTGATTGTTCAGTTTCTCGATTTTTTGAATTTTTAGTTTTTGGTAGGATTTTTTTTATCAAAAATTTTCATTTTTTCAATTTATTAATTTTACGATACTTCAGTTTTGCTCGATTTCGATTTCTCAATTTTTCGACATATTACTGTTGGGATTTTTCAATTTATCGATTCTTCGATTTTTCGATTCTTCATATTTTCGGTTTCTCGAATTTCTTCATTTTTCGATTTCTCAATTTTCCGATGTTTCAGTTTTACGATTTTTAAATTTTTTTATTTTTTAGTTGTCAATTTTTGACGTTTCTAAATTTTTCGATTTCTCAATTTTTCGATTAACTAATTTTTTGGTTTTCGCATTTCTCTATTTCTCGATTTTTCAATTCTTTCTTCAATTGTGATTTTTCAATTTTTCGATTTCTGAATTTGTCAATGTTTCAGTTTTGGATGTTTTCACTTTTCCGATTCTTCAATTTTCTTTCCATTTTTCAGTTTTTCAAGATTTCAGTTCTGGGATTTTGCAATGTTTCGGTTCTTCAATTTTTCCATTTTTTGATTTTCGATTTCTCGGTTTTTCAATTTTTCGATAGGTATTTTAATTTTTCAATTTATTAATTTTACGATACTTCAGTTTTGCTCGATTTCGATTTCTCAATTTTTCGACATATTACTGTAGGATTTTTCAATTTATCGATTCTTCGATTTTTCGATTCTTTATATTTTCGGTTTCTCGAATTTCTTCATTTTTCGATTTCTCAATTTTCCGATGTTTCAGTTTTACGATTTTTAAATTTTTTTATTTTCCAGTTGTCAATTTTTGACGTTTCTATATTTTTCGATTGCTCAATTTTTCGATTAACTAATTTTTTGATTTTCGCATTTCTCTATTTCTCGATTTTTCAATTCTTTCTTCAATTGTGATTTTTCAATTTTCCGATTTCTGAATTTGTCAATGTTTCAGTTTTGGATTTTTTCACTTTTCCGATTCTTCAATTTTCTTTCCATTTTTCAGTTTTTCAAGATTTCAGTTTTGAATTTTTTCACTTTTTCGATTTTTCAATTTTCCTTCCATTTTTCAGTTTTTCAGTATTTCAGTTCTGGGATTTTGCAATGTTTCGGTTCTTCAATTTTTCAATTTATTAATTTTACGATACTTCAGTTTTGCTCGATTTCGATTTCTCAATTTTTCGACATATTACTATTGGGATTTTTCAATTTATCGATTCTTCGATTTTTCGATTCTTCATATTTTCGGTTTCTCGAATTTCTTCATTTTTCGATTTCCCAATTTTCCGATGTTTCAGTTTTACGATTTTTAATTTTTTTTATTTTCCAGTTGTCAATTTTTGACGTTTCTAAATTTTTCGATTTTTCAATTCTTTCTTCAATTGTGATTTTTCAATTTTTCGATTTCTGAATTTGTCAATGTTTCAGTTTTGGATTTTTTCACTTTTCCGATTCTTCAATTTTCTTTCCATTTTTCAGTTTTTCAAGATTTCAGTTTTGAATTTTTTCACTTTTTCGATTCTTCAATTTTCCTTCCATTTTTCAGTTTTTCAGTATTTCAGTTCTGGGATTTTGCAATGTTTCGGTTCTTCAATTTTTCCATTTTTTGATTTTCGATTTCTCGGTTTTTCAATTTTTCGATAGGTATTTTAATTTTTCAATTTATTAATTTTACGATACTTCAGTTTTGCTCGATTTCGATTTCTCAATTTTTCGACATTTTGCTGTTGAGATTTTTCAATTTATCGATTCTTCGATTTTTCGATTCTTCATATTTTCGGTTTCTCGAATTTCTTCATTTTTCGATTTCTCAATTTTCCAATGTTTCAGTTTTACGATTTTTAAATTTTTTTATTTTTCAGTTTTCAATTTTTGACGTTTCTAAATTTTTCGATTTCTCAATTTTTCGATTAACTAATTTTTTGATTTTCGCATTTCTCTATTTCTCGATTTTTCAATTCTTTCTTCAATTGTGATTTTTCAATTTTTCGATTTCTGAATTTTTCAATGTTTCAGTTTTGGATTTTTTCACTTTTCCGATTCTTCAATTTTCTTTCCATTTTTCAATTTTTCAAGATTTCAGTTTTGAATTTTTTCGATTCTTCAATTTTCCTTCCATTTTTCAGTTTTTCAGTATTTCAGTTCTGGGATTTTGCAATGTTTCGGTTCTTCAACTTTTCCATTTTTTGATGTTTCGATTTTTCGGTTTTTCAATTTTTCGATAGGTATTTTAATTTTTCAATTTTTAAGTTCTAGATTTTCCGTTGATTTTTTTGTTTTCCTTGATGTTTTGATTTCTCGATTATTCGATTTTTCAAGTTTTTCAAGATTTTTTGGTCTTCCAATTCTTCGATTTTTAAATTGTTTAATTTTAGATTGTTTAATTTCTCAATTTTTAGATTTTAAAATTTTTTGGTTTACCGATTTTTTTCATTTAAAATGTTCCAATTTTTCAATTATTAACTTTTCGATTTTTCAATTTTGGTCTAATTTGATTTCTTAATTTTTTTATTTTTTAACTCCTCTACTGTTGATGTTTTGATTTCTCGATGTTTCAGTTTTTGAACATTCCGATGTTTCGATTTTTCGACTTTTTGGCTTTTCGAGTATTCAATTTTTTGATTTTTGAATTTTAGATTTTTGTTTTTTTGATTTTTTTGGTGTTTCGATTTCCCACTTCTTCAATTTTTCGATATTTTAATTTTTCAATTTTTCGAATTTTTAAATTTTTGATTTTTCTTTTCTTTTATTTCTCAATTTTTGGATCTTTTAAATTTTACATTTTTCGATTTTACTATTTTTTGATGCTTGGATTTCTCAATTTTTCAAGTTTTCAATTCTCAATTTTTCAGGATTTGAATATTGAGAACTTTTCAATTTCTGGATTTTCAATTTTCAGATATTTTAATTTTTTGATTTTTTAATTTTTCGATTTTTGGGTGTTTTGATTTTTGGATTTTTAAAGTGTTTGATTTTTCGATTTTTCCACCCAGCGAAATGGACGAACCATTTTGATAGCATTTTCTTTTTAAATCTATGCTGACAAAATTAAAACGTTTGTTTGCTTGATTAAAAAATGGCGTCTAATAATTCTGATCTAATAAATGAAGTAGAAACGTGGCAATCCAGCTCAAAGCAAATGTCAATTAGACTACTGACAGACAAAAAACTAAATCATCAAATCAGTTTATCCAACTTAAAGAAAAAATATCAAAGCCTAGTTTACTATATAAAGATCGTGAATGAATAATAATATATTTATTTTTTCGGATTTTAAGGACTCACTTCTTTGTATTTCGATGAGTTCGACGCTGCGTCTAAGTAAAGGTAGGGTGAAGTCGGCCAAGACGGATCCCTTGTGGGGGACGCTGTAGAACATGATGCCTTTCGAGTTCTGGAAAATCCGGAATTTTTCCGGGTGATCTCTGTGACGTTCCCAAGCTGAAATGTTTTTTTTTGTTTAGTGGAAAAGAGCGGTGGTTCGGTTACCATTCATGATTATTTGTTTTATGAAGAGGCCGCCTTTGGAGTGGCCCACCCATATGATGGGTTGGTTCCCGACTCCCAGTTGACGCAGTGAGTCGATCATCTCGTCGCTTCGTTCGACCATATCGGTCCTGAAATAGAAATTGGGTTTATGGTTGTGCGAAAATGGGTGCTGTGAGTGGTTTAGTTTATATTAAGCAATAAAGATATGGAATTTTCGTGTATTTTCATCTTGTTTAGATTTTGTGGCTTCGGTAAGTCTTTGAAGATTACGGAGAAAACTCCACAAAAAGGATTTATTTTGGGTCATTCCAGAAAAACTAGATGGAAATTTTTAAACAAGAAAAATCGTAAGTAACTTCTGGTGGTCGAAATTAACAAAATGATTTTTTCAAATAATTCTGGTAGACAGATTTCGAAGAACTTAATCGAAAAACGGCGTGGTGATGGTCCCGGACTAAGAATGTAGTTTTCCAGTATTGCCCTGAATAAATTCTTCACAAGAATGGTAGGACAGCTCCGGGATTTTTGACTTTCGCCTCCACCTTGTTTCGGGACCATCAACACACAATGTTCTTCGATCGAGTTCTTCGAAATCTGTCAGAATTATTTGTCGATTTTTCGAGGACTTCGGAAAAGCTCAATTCTTCGATTTCCAAAATGTGAAATTTTTAACGTTTCCCCAACCACTGCCGAAAATTACTAAAAAAATTCCTGTTGTTAGTTTCGACTTTCAGAAGTTTCTTACAGTTTTATTTCTTCGAAAACTTGTACCATTTCTCCAGAATCGCCAAATTCAAATGTGGCAAATTTTGAGATACATTGAAAATTTGACTTTGAACCCGAATATTTCGAAAACCAGTCGTCGTATGAACTTTGGATTATTTTCACAAATAGACTTATCGTTTCTGTACAAGTGATATTTTTTTCATAATTTTTTGCCAGCCAATTTTTCCGGAATTGTTCGAAATAAATCTTTCACACAAATGGTATCATAGTTCCGGAATTTTTGATTTTAATTAATAATTCTCTAATATTGATCTGAGACCATCAACATGTTGTGTTTTTCGAATCAGTTCTTCGAAATCCATTTCACAGAATTACTTGTGTATTTTTCGGCGATTTCGTGAAAAGTCAGTTTTTCGATTTTCAAAAATTTCATATATGTGAAATTTTTTCCCAACAGTGGCGAAAAATACCAAAAAAAAAAGAAACTTTTTGTTAATTTCGACCTCGTGAGGTTTCTTACGGTTTTATTTTTTCGAAAATGTCCTCCTTTTTTCCAGAATCACCAAAGTAAAATACAGTAGACGCCGCTTAATATGATCACGGTTAATGTTATCAACCGCTTAGTGTGATCAAAATGGCTTGTAACGGGCCCACGCAATACCTATGCATTACAGTTTTTCCGTTTATTGTGATCAATATTTCGCTTATTGTGATCAATCTCGCAATTGTTAAACAAACGGGAATTGCTTTTTTGGAGAAGCGAGACGACTGAAACTAGTATTGCGTTTTAATGAACATTCATTGCTCTCAAAAGGTACTACTCATTTTATACAACCACAATCAGTGGTCAAAAACAGACTTAAAATCAGTGCGTTTTCGACTTTTGAACGAACGAATTTTTTCTGTTTTAAATCTAAGTAGACTTATGTAACAATTAACACGTCGAAACGACGAAATCTCAGTTTATCAGAGAAAAAAAAAATTTTCAGCCCTTACTTAACAAATTTCTACAACAACCAAAGGAAATCGAGGGTTCCTTTCTCAGAATGGTAACCAAAATTTAAAATAAATTCTCATGTTTATGTACCTTCATCTACCAGCGTAATAAACACTGTATTGTTCATGATTTCGTTTTGTTTCGAGTTTTACTGTCTCTGATTGTGGTTTTCGCTTATTATTATCAGTCGGTTAGTGTGATCAATTTGTCTAAGTCCCAAAGTGATCACATTAAGCGGCGTCCACTGTATGTTAAACTTTGAGATACATCGTAAATTTGACTTTGAACACTAATATTTCGAAAACCAGTCGTCATATCAACTTTGGATTATTTTTACAAATAGACATATCGTTTCTATTGAATAGAAAAAACGAAATATCGAAAGTTGAAAAATTTGAAATTCCAAAATCGAGAAGCCGAAACATGGAAAAACCGAAAAATCGAGAATTCAAAATTAAAAAATTGGAATACCGAAAAACCAAAAATTCGAAAATTGAAAATTTGAAAATCGAAAAGCCGTAAAACCGAAAAGTCATAAAATCGAAAAATGTAAAGACCGAGAAATCGAAAAACCGGGAAACTAAGAAATTGATACATCGAAAAATTGAGACATCGCGAAATCGAAACATCAAAACGACGAACCGAAAAATCTCCAATTAAAATATCGAAAAATTGAAAAATCCAGAAATAGAGAATTTTCCAAAATCAAAGTGAGCTGAGAAATCGCAAATTTAAAAAATCAAAAAATCGAATAATTTTGAACATTGAAATACCGGCAGATCAAGAAATAGAAATTTCGAAAAATTGAAATATAAAAAAATTAAAAAATCGTAAAATCGAAACTTTGAAAAGTCGAAAAATATGAAATTTAAAAAACCTAAAAATGAAAAACCGAATTTCTCGTTTCTTAATTTTAAGAAACGAGAAATCGAAAAATCTAAAATTTAAAAGCAGAAAAATTAAATTGAACAATCGGAAAATTGAAAAATCGAGAAACTGAAAAATCGAAAAGTTAAAAAGGTGAAAAATGGAAAAACCGAGAAATTGAATGAGACATCAAAAGATCGGGAAATCATAAAGTTGAGAACTCGAAATGGCTTAAAATTGAAAAATCGAAAAATTAAAATATGAAAAATTGAAAAATTTTAATTTAGAAAAAACTGAAAAATCGAATAATTTAAAAACCGAAACATTGAAAAATTGAAAAATTGATCAATCAATGAATCGAAAAATTGAAAAGTCGAAAAACCAGAAAATTGAAGGATATCTGAAAAATCGAACAACTCAAGAATTGAAAATCTGAAAATCGAAAAATCGAGAAATTGAGAAGCCGAGAAACCGAAACAACGAAAAATCGAGAAATAGAGAAATGGGAAAATCAAAATATCGAAAAATCGAAAAAATGAAAAAAATATTGCTTACACAGAGACAATCTAGTATCTATTTGTGATAATAATCAAAAGTTAATACGACGACTGGTTTGCGAAATGTTCGGGTTCAAAATCAAATTTTCAATGTATTTCAAAATTTGCCTTATTTTATTTTGCCGATTCTTGAAGAAAATGTGCAAATTTTCGAAGAAATAAAACCGCAAGATACTTGTGGAGGTCGAAATTAACAAAAGGAATTTTTTTGGTAATTTTCGACAATGCTTATAACTATCAAAAATTTCACAAATTAGAAATCGAAAAATTGAGCTTTTTGCGATGTCGCTGCAAAAATTTGCGAAAAATTCTAGAAAATACATTTTGAAGAACTGAATCGAAAAACATAACATGTTGTTTGCTTCGGACCAAGATTAGAGGCGAAAATCGAAAATCCCGTAACTATGATACCATTTGTGTGAAAGATTTATTTCGAACAATTCCGGAAAAATTGGCTGGCAAAAAATTATGAAAAAAATATCACTTGTACAGAAACGATAAGTCTATTTGTGAAAATAATCCAAAGTTCATACGACGACTGGTTTTCGAAATATTTGGGTGTGGAGGATTTATTCATACCAATTCTGGAAAAACTGGATGGCCAAAACTTATGAAAAAATCGTGCTTACACAGAAACGATATGTCTATTTGTAAAAATAGTCCAAAGTTGATATGACGACTGGTTTTCGAAATATTCGTATTCAAAGTCAAATTTACGATGTATTTCAAAATTTGCCATATTTTACGTTAATGATTCCTGAAAAAGGGTGGAAATTTTCGAAGAAATAAAACCGTAAGAAACTTCAGGAGGTTGAAATTAACAAAAGGTTTTTTTTGGTATTTTTCGCCAGTGCTTGGGAAAATGTCAAAGATTTCATATGTGAGGGTTTATTTTGAACAATTCCGGAAAAAACGGCTAGCAAAAAAATATGAAAAAAATATAACTTGCACAGAAACGATAAGTCTGTAAAAATAATCCAAAGTTCATACGACGACTGGTTTTCGAAATATTTGGGTTCAAAGTCAAATTTTCAATGTATTTCAAAATTTGCCATATTTTAATTTGGCGATTTTGGAAAAAAGGTACAAGTTTTGGAAGAAATAAAACTGTAAGAAACTTCTGGAGGTCGAAATTAACAAGAGGCATGCTTTTGGTAATTTTCGACGGTGCTTAGGGAATCTTCAAAAATTTCACAGATTAATAGCAACGCCAAAAATTGAAATCTTGAAAAATCGAAAACTAGAAATATTGAAAAATCAAGTATCGAAAATCGAAAAATCCAGAAACCAGAAAACCGAAAAATTTGGATAGTCTATAAACTGAAGAATGGAAAAGTCAAAAAATCGAAAATTCAAAAAATCGTGAATCGAAAAATTGAAAAATCGAGAAATTCGGATGTCAAAAAAAAGAAAATTCCATGAATCTAGTATTCTAAAAAATGAAAATCCGAGAAATCGGGAAACAAATAAAATTCGGAATTTTAAAAATCGAAAAACCGAAAATTCAAAAATTTGAAAATGGAGATTTCAAAAAATCAAGAATGGAATAGAAAAAACGAAATATCGAAAGTCGAAACATTTCAAATTCTAAAATCGAAAAACCGAAAAATGGAAAAACTGGAAAATCGAGAATTAAAAATTTAAAATTGTAATACCGAAAAACCAAAAATTCGAAAATTGAAATTCGAAAAGTCGTAAAATCGAAAAATCTAAAGATCGAGAAATGGAAAAACCGGGAAATCAAGAAATTGATACATCGCGAACTCGAAACATCAAAAGATCGAGTAAGCGACAAACCGAAAAATCTCCAATTAAAATATCGAAAAATTAAAAAATCCAGAAATAGAAAAATTTACAAAATCGAAGTGTTGCAAAGCTGAGAAATCGAAAATTTAGAAAATCGAGAAATCAAAAAATCGAAATATAAAAAAATTAAAAAATCGTAAAATCGAAACTTTGGAAAGTCAAAAAATGTAAAATT